TTTACAATGAGCACATGTGGATAATGACTATCTGCCTCTGAAATGCATATTTTCTCTTGACAACGATTAGGCTCGCTAAAGTGAGTACCCAACGACCCTACGTTACATACGTCACCGATTGAGACGCGTTCTACAAGTATGGAGTGCCGAGAGGGTCAAAACACTTTTTAAATTTCTGTTTCGTTTTTGTTCGTTTTTTTAAAACTAATTTTTCTTTTATGAGATTTAGTCAGATTAGACAAAGATATCTCAATGGTCCTAAAGGGAGGTAGGTAAGATAAAGGACAAACTCTTCCTACTGGAAGACTTTCTGAATTCATGAATAAGTTGGTCGGCTTTTTAGACAGAATTGCATCTGAGGACATTTCACTCATGCTACCTCTCAGTTTTCACCCCTAGTTGTTAGGCTTAGTTGGGACAATCCCAGTCCAAATCTGACCAACAAAGCTAATTGGCCCCCAGAAGGGATTGAAATAATTTCCTTTTAAGAATAGCCTACATTTAAACACACACACATTTAAACACATTTTTCAGAAGTGAACTGATTCCCATTAGATTCACAAATCTTGCCCAATACATGAGTTTATATCCCACAATGAGGAGTGTTGTGAGCAAACCCGACATTGCCTTCTGCATCATGAGTAGTTCTATTATATACTGTCAATGTGCATGACCACCGTATAATTCTGTATCACAGGTAAATTGTATAGGGCCTACATATGAATTTGGGGAAAACAGACAGTTGAAAATGCATGTGGGACATAGCTCACTGTACTGTACTTTAAATTAATGTAGAACTGCACTAACTAATACTTTGGCACAACGAGAAGGAAGGGATTATGTGTATGCACTTTTCATAATCTATATCTCATAATACCCTGTGTTACATTGTTCATGGTTCAATTTTGGCTGGATGGAAGAGCCAATGTGGAAGACATTGAATAACTATTTGCTTAGATTGTAGGTATGTCCCAGCAAAGTTCAATGTGTCCATTTCTACTGATTCTTGGCCCAAACTTTGGGCCATACAATTTGGTACAATCAGTCCAAGTAGGCCATCAATATGATTGGCCACAAGGGCCCACCTGCAACCAGCCTTGGCTCCATCAGCAACCATGAGACACAGAGAAGAATATAGACCTCATTGACAAATTGAATCACCAGGCCATCTCTGACTGGACAGTGATGCGAAAGTGTGGTAGAAATAACTGCTTGGTTAGAATCTCTTTTTGGTTAGACTGTTATACAGAGTAAGTAAACAATCAGTGAATTTACAGACAAACTATGGTCTCCCCCTTTTATTTCCATGTCTGTATGAATGGCAGTTACACACAGGGCAAGAAGCACAATGGGTATTTAACAGCAGAGTTTAATATTAAAGTTTTTGTTTGTTCAAACTACATTTTTGGTGCTTGACCCTGCATATAGGGTTTATGTGTACAAGTTTTAGATCAGAACTTTTTTCTGTGACTGAAATACAACTGAGATGAATGGAAATTCATCTGTGTTGTTCAAAGCACCAACAAATGACATTTGGGAAGGTTGCTTTTTCAAATTCAGCCAATAAACCTAGTTGTGAACAGTTTTCACCTGGGCCATTAAGCTCACAGAGTGTTATGACATTATATACATATACTATTTACATTTACTCAGATTTACGCAGATGCATTTATCTAAAGCAACTTACAAGTGAGGGACAACTCCGCTTCAACATGTCTACATGACTTACACCCTGTTAAATTAAATGGTGCTGTAGCAAAATTGTCTGAATTGGTATGTTATGTCCATACACTGAACCAAGGTGATTTAAATGTTTTATCAGTGTTTTATGATGCTTCTGGTGATGAAAACAATTGAACTGAAATGTTATTACAATTTATGTTTTCGGAAAGCACATAGTTTTTGAAGCACTTCTGAACTGCGAATTAATTTTTGAAGGATAGATGACAATATGTACTGTATAAGACCTGTGAAAGAAAATGATATGTGTCATGGTTTTGTTGTCAGTGAGAAAAAACAAGGCCAAATGTAGTGATAGTGATTTCAATTGATCCCACAAGATGGCAGTATATGCACACTGAAATGTTAAAACAGTGCCTGCTATCCATATTAATGTTTCACAAGAGTTATTGCATTTCCTACTCAGAAGCTCCAGCAATAGAAATGGACCCATCCAGTAATAAAGCTTTATTGTAAGGACAGCATTTCCCTTTCTGAGTCAGAGCCATAAAGTTTAATTCTAACACTCGTCTCATGGCTTAGGTAAAGAGAGGTTTCTGAAGGCTAGGTTTTCTACATTCATTCTACATTCATATCTCAAATGATTTGTAACTGTTATATACAAAACAGATTGTATGCATTATTATTCATTGCATACAGTGCAAGACTTTAATATAAGGCTGAAATGTGTTGTTACTGGCACAACCACTGTAGTAAAGTTTTGTTGGGGCACAAAATACTATAAAAATACATAAAACATCCCTGCCTGATTAAGTTTTTCAAAATCTTGTATAAAAAGATAAACATTTAAAATGTTCTTGTCTATAAATTGAGGGACTTTAAGGCACAATGTTCTAGAAAAACGTTTGATTATCCTTGAGGCTCATTTAAACAACCACTACTCTAATCTTATGAATTGTTCATGTTTTATTTGTTTATGCTCTGACAATGTTGTCTTGGAATACTTGTGCCAATAGATCACACACAATTCAAGTAGAAGAAACATTCAAACTCACTCAGATGGATTTTCTATACTTGGGGTTTTTGAATGTATATCCCTGTGGCAATTCTTTGACTTATTTGGAAGTGTAGATCTCATTGTTTGAAAAGATTAGTGAGGCACAACAAGGCTTGTGTTTGGCTAGATGAAGAGTGTTAAGACACTGCTGGCAGCCACGCAGACAGCCTTTCAGGGAAACAAGAACCAAAGGTCTTTAAAGATAACAAGATTTCAAGAGGTTGAATTCAAAGGAAGTCAGATTTGATTTCATAGATGAAGGTGTCATTCAATGGAAACATTTGATTTTGTTTTGCCTTAAATAAACAATTTTAATTCAAAATTTGTTTGGCAAATCTGTTTTCACAAGCCATGCTTACACAAATCCCCATCTGTATGCCAGTTTGCCTGTGACTGAAAATTTGTCCCATTCTTGCAGATTGACATACTGAAATGCTGCTCCACTTGTAAAAGATTGATGCTTGAAATACAACACTTGAGCAAATTACATGAGTCAAGAGACAGCTGAAATCCCTGACCTGTTGTCTGTTTAAAAAAATATACTGTATATTACTTGCTCTTGCCATTGGCTGGGATTCTTAAAAAAAACCAAAAAAACCTCTCCATCAAACCAACTGCTGTCAAAGTTGTAACGGTCAGTAGATTACACATGTCTAATTATCACTGGACTCCAGTGCTGAGGTTTTAAGAGGGACTGGCATCATCCCAGCTGTCTGTAAGCACAAAGCCAGTGGAAAGGTTAATATTACTTGTGGCTTTCCCTATTGCCATTATTAGGTTAAGTAAACATTATTTTTCTCAAGAAAAAAGTTCCACATGCTCAAGCATAACTGCTGAATAACAATATCAGCTGTAGAACAGTTTACAAAGAGCATTCACCAAGAATAATCTCTAATATCATGTGGCTCACTGTCAATAATTCACACAACTGATAAATTCTATAATTAATGTGTTTCACCAACAGGAACTAAGTGTTCCATACTGGTTGGCTTTACACGGAGAGCAAATTATGTTTTCAGAACCACATGAGAAGGATCTTAAAAAAGTTTTTGTTTGTTGCATCACAGCAGATCATTGCTGTTTGCATCAGACAAGGTATTTGGGATTTTACTGTAGCTGTAGGTTTACTTTTAAATTGCCAAACAAAGCTGAAAATCAACAGCTTATAACAGCCTATAACAGCCAAAAAAATTAAAGGCAGCATCAGCCACCATCAATTTATGTTGCCTCCAAGCTTCTCATGAAAGCCTGCACAAGAAGACAGAGTAACATGATGTTGTAGGAAGGGAAGATAGAGGGACAAATCAATGTCTCAAGTATACATAAAAGTATCTGTATAGCTGACAAGTGACTAATACTATTATGATGAGGTGGTGATTTTCTCATCTATGATCTTGTGTGCAATCTCAAAAAGTTGTCATTCCATTTGACAGTGCATGGTGTGCAACCATGTAACAGTAAACCTTTGGGAAGTTTGCAGTTTTAAGGTGTGAGTTAACCTTTAAAAGTCGACACATTCACCAGCTTTGTTGGATGCCTATATGTTGAGTTTGTTTCTGGCAAGTTGCATGGTTAGTAGTTTGTATTCATTCAAATGTGCTCTGAGGTTGAATCGTCTAGTAAGTTGTAGTGCTGTTAAAAATACAGTTTTTAACATTTCTATCCAACATGACAAGCATGATTGCATACAAAGTGTTTCCACTTCTGCAAACCCAGCTAAATCAAGTTATATAAACTATTGAACCTACGGGAGGCCCAGGTTAAATAAAACGAGCAACTCTAACAAGAAGTACCTCTGATTGACAGCTTACTGCGGCCAATAAAATTCCTTTTCAACTGTAAACAGAGGGGGGCTGTACCAATGCCGATTGAATTTTTGTGGCAGAGCGGAGGCTATTGGTTAGATTGAACACGCGGAGCTGACGTCGTCATTGCGCGGGGTTGTCAAAAAATATCTGCCACAAAAATTTATCCAGCTAACGCTTCACCTACTGCATGTAATTATTATATAGCTCTCAATTCATGGACGGATAAAATTTGTCGAATGAAGAAAACCGTTGTGTTGTATACTGCATGTCTGCCGTTAGCGGAAATTCAAGCATTACGTGTCAGTGCATAAATTGGATTAGCTCTAAGTAAAGCCGCCAGTGAATGATAGTTTAGCGAACCTGCTAGCTAGCTAAACGGACTGTTGGGAGTGAAGATTAGAGAAGGCAAACTGGTAAGATTAGCACTTAAGCGTTAACCAGCGTTAGATGTCCGGCCAATTCAACACACGAATGGTAATGTAGACAATTCTGCGTGCGTCGTCCGTCACTATTTTAGGATTGTGCTAACGTTAGAGACATTACAAGGTTAGCGTCTTTAAAACTATCATCTTGCGCGGAAATCATTAGCTTAACATCATGGAAAGTTATAGTCAACGGTTTGAATCCGGACGAGACAGTAAATCTCAAAAGAAGAAGGGTTCTTCCCACCACACCACATCATATTACGATGAAGGAGATCGCAAACCAAAGTTTGTAAGTATAGCAGACTAAATAGAAATGTTTGTTTCATTTTAGCTGTATGGTAGATGAGTGGTTGTCTTTGGTTGATACCTTTGTATAACGTTACCTCTTACTTCTGATGCCACCCATGGATGCAACACAAGCACAGACACACATGAAAGTGCAAAACAAATAAGGAAAGTGGCTGCAAGAGTCGTAACTTTTTTTGGTATTGAGAGTGAATAGATGCATGAGTCAACCTTGAAAGGTATGTGAAAGTGATCTTGGATTGTTTTACTCTATTTGTAATGACTTAAAATGATATGCCTTGGAAACTAAAGCAATGGAACAGACGTGGAGATATTTTGCCTGTGTGTGTAATGTATTTGAGACATGGAGAAAATGCCTTTACAGACTCACTTCTGCAGTTAAGAAAGGTCATATAGTATGAAATATTTTCATGTTCGAGTTTTCTTTGGGAACAGTGACCTTGACTGTTTGTGGACATTGCTTTGCATGTGGGAAATCAAAAGGTTAAAATTAGCACAGGGTTTAGCCCTTACACTAATCCGTGTGTTTCCTACTACTACAACCCGACCAACAGTCTGTCTGTGTGTCATTTGTCTGCTGTATTCTTCTGGGAGTTTAGGGAGATGTTTCTATTTGAACACCAATACCATTATTAGGGTTCTCAATTAGGGGTCTCATTTTCAAAGCAGTCAGGCTGCTACTCATAACACACACACGCATCACCCTTTCAGACGGGAGACGTGTGTATGACACAGATCTACTTAATGCACGCTCAACCTGTGTTTGACCCCATTCTTATGAGAGTGCTAGTTAATTCCTTGTGTCCACCATTCAGAGATTCTAGTCTACAATTGTAGCAAAGGTCTGTGCAGGAATGGTTTTTCAAGCCAGACTGTTATTATCCACTCCCACTGACGAGATGTTGGCTAAATGTCCCAAATAGAAACACCTGTTCACTGAGAAAGATGAATGTTCACTGTTGGTTGAAAGCAAGGCTGCAAAGTCAAATCATTGTTTGACCTGCATCATTGCACTGTGTCTGTCTGAATGGGAGTAAGGCAGACAGACACAAAAACTGTGTATGAGCAATATGAAAGAACTGTTTTGGGCTCTATGTTAACTTGTGATGGCCATTTGTCATTATGGTTCCCTGACTACAGACTATGACTGTAGGGGAATCCTAAGCATTTAACCTCTGTAGGACTGATAACACATTAAGAGTCCTTGAGGTCATGTTTTGAAAATGGCAAAAAGCAAAGTGTTTTACCCAAACATGTTCCTTGTTATCAGTCAGTTAACAAAAGTGTGGATAAAAATATAGATTCATACCAACTTCTAACCTTCAGCTTGAATGTTGTTTTTGACCTTGGACATATTATTCGGCTAAATTGTTTTATCGCAAGGTTACTTACTAGCTGGAGCTGGAACAGTAGTTCATGCTTGTGATCTGGGGATGGAATTCACACAGTTGTCATGGAGATGGGTCAGTTGTCATCATGTGACCTGTGTATGGAACTTAGCTGTGTTTTGTTTAAAAATGGTGTTTGTTGTAGATGGAGACCATTCACACAGGTTACCAGAGACATCCTTGAACACCCCACATATGACCACCCTTTATCTCTATTTGAAAGATTATTGTTGGCATTTTACCTTTATTTGACAGTTGACAGTGTAGAGAGAGACTGGAAATCTGGGCAGAGAGAGAGAGGGGTGTGCCATGGAACAAATGGCCACCCGGCCAGGATTTGACCTGTGCACTTTGAGTTTATGTGGTAACCATTACGCCTCTGGATCCCTCTTCTTTTATCTCTTGACTGTGACGATAACACAGCTATCATCATTACAACTGAATGACCTCCATCTGTTGATGATGACTATGAGATATATCTGAAAGCCCGGGAAAAAATCTAGTTAGTGGACCTACAGTTGAGATTATTTTGTTAAATTTCTAACCCATTTAAAACCTAATTAATCTACACTAAGATACTGGAAGTACCACACACTCAAGACGCAGTGTGGCTATTTGAAAATAAAAGTATTACAAGCTTTTACTATGACAAGCATAGGAAGTGTTGTGTTTGCACTGAAAATTTACAGAGATTGCTTTTCGTGCTGATGATTTACTCTTGACAGCACTTTTTTTTTTTTACTGCTGTCAACAAGAGCGAAAAGCAAAGATTTCTTGCCTGAGTTGAACTACACATTTTCACTCAAGGTTTACAGAGGTGTTAGTTATTGTTCTGGTTCTCATTTTAATATACTAACCAAAAAGCTAAGTACACTGAGGCCGTGCTGTCTTGAATTTCTAAAAAATATTCTTCTCATGGTTCTGTTCTGTTTAACGGTTAGAAATACACAACCAAAGAACATCTTGTTATCTATTCTCACTGAAAGATGCATACATGCCATGCACCTGTGATTGTACAGCTTAGTCCTGACACCTTTAGTCCCTTTCTCTCTCATCAGATTTGTCTTTATAATATATAACTATTATTATAACACATAACTGAAAAACATTGGAAACATTTTTCACAGTGAAAAGCACTGATTTATTTAGTTGACTGTCATTTCAATAGGTGGCACTACAATACCACAATATTAACTATAATTGATAGAAAGTAGATTTATCATTGAAGGCCACTTTATCAAGCAGAGCATTATAAAAAATTAAGAAAAAATGGAAGAGGCAACATGTTAACTGCACTGTGTTAATGTTCTTTTATACTATTTTTCGTCTTCTTAAGTAGGGTAAAAATGACCGTCACATCCAAATCAATTTGTTGTCAGTTTAAGCGCTGATCAGGTTATATGGTGTCATAAATGTAATGGATGTTTAGCATTTTTGTTCTATATCACTAATTTTTGTAGAGGATTTTAGTGTTAATGGGCAATATTACTGAGTTTTGGTGCTCAAATAAGATAAGCAACTGAATGAACATAAGTGAGACACCTCATTTATCTACTTTATTAACCTTAAACCTAAAAACATTTGAAATTGAGGCCAACACAAAAATGTGGGTGGGAGGAAATCATTAATGAATTGTCAATTTTTTTCCACCTAAGCTAATTCCTTTATATAACTTTTTTTTAATTGTTGAAGTTAGTTTGCTGAGTGATTCTTCAGTCACTGCCCGTGATGCGGCTTGGGTGGTATTGCTGAAATGATCCAATCAATTGAATCAACTACTCACTATGTATTATCTACCAGTCTTATTCAGGAAGGATTTTTTGCAGGAAATATGCATTTTTATGTCAGAAATCTTGACTTAAAAGTCCATAGTTTTAAAGTTTGCTCGTCCTTAAATATTGTGCAGTGCCATTCTTCCATTCATTGGTGAAAGTGATTTCCCTTGTGATAAGCTCAGCCCTTCTGGGTGTGTGCAGTTGCATGAAATCCTAAAAAAACAAAACAAAATGAAGACTTGGCAGTGTAGTTAATGAATGGTCCATAGACGGTGAGATAAAGCTTTCAAAATCTAATGTCTATGGATGTTGTCTTGGTTTGAGTTCGGTCTGGGGCTCTTTAATTTTTGCTATTTTTTCTCCTCTGTTGTGGATTGCATGTGCAGTGTTTTATAAATTAGCGTTTTCTCTACAAGCGGTGGGTTACTTGTCTCAGTTAATTGAAAAAGATGTTATCAGAGTTTAATTAAATGAACAGGGTGATAGCGGAAAGTAAAATGAATTCACTGACATTTACAAATTACTGTTGTTTGGCTGTCCTATTTTGTCCATTAAAATAAAAGATTTGCAATAGTGAGATCTTGAAAAACACTGAGGCATTGCCAGTTAACTGACTGTTCCTGTAGCTTGCTTTATGTAAGCCACAACTTTATTTGATGTTTTTGATGTTTCATAGTTGCCAGGCAATTGAATTTTTTACCTAAAGCACTTGATTCGCTCCTTTTGGCTAGTCTTACTGTCATGTTTTATCTTTACCTCCCATTGGCAGGCTTTTCTTATTTCCACTCTGCTTAGTCACTTGGGTCCTTTTGCTTGCTCTGTTTGGAAGCTTTGGAATTGTTCAATTGGAGTTCAGGTGAGGCCTTGCCTTTGTCTGCAGTTTAAATTCTGACTATGGATGTGTGATGAGAGATGGCCTTGAATTGTTACTGCTTCCTTATTTAAAAAAAAAAAAGCAAATACGAATTAGGTCCTGGGCAGGGCTGCAGCTGAACATTTTTCATTATTGATTAATCTGCCAAATATTTTCTTGATTAATCTGTTGGGCGTTTTGTCCCAAAATGCCAGAAAACGATAGATGATAGAAATCAGAGAAATGCAACAAGTCTTCCATCTAAGTAATAAGAACCAAAGAACCTTTGCTTAAAAGTGAAAACTGAGTGATTCATTGATTATCAAAATGTATATTTTGTTGATCAACTAATTGATTAATAATGTAATTGTTTCATTTTTACTCCTGGGATGTTATGCTGGTATTGATTTTAACATCCGCCAATGTAAATAATTTGTTATACAGCTGCTGGACATTTTTTTAATTTGGGTACCAAGAACTTTACCTTTTTAGCAAATAGATTCAGATCTCAGCATGGCTTTTCTACCTGGCTGTCACTTATTCTGCAGCTGTGTTGTGTGCACGCTGTCCTGTTGTGGAGTTTCCATTGCCCTTTGCTCCGACAGTGTAGTGATGTTGTATGATGCTGATTGTTTGATATTATTAAGAGGCAACAATGAGAGTCTGCTGTCAGCATCTTCACATTGTCTTCGCCGACATGTTTTAGCCTACATTATATGTCCTACTGTATGAAAGGCAAACACTTGTTCCACAGACAAGCTGCAATGACATAATTGCAGATAGACTTGTACTATTGTGCACTAGAGTGCAACTGCTTGCACGAAAGGCTGCTGACACATTGTTGGACTGTATAACACAAAGAGCAAAATTTCGAATGTAATATCCAATAAATTATGATGAAATTGATGAAAAAAAACAGGAGCTGGCACAGTGTCTATTCATTCTTTTTATATTTGCAATTTTTGTGTTGCATTGCATACCATTAATCCTGCAGGGACACAACAGAGGAAATAGGTTGCTATATTTTATTACACTGTTCAGGGCATCCCTCCCCTGATTTTGCATAAGCAGAACTGAACAGCAAAGACTTAAACAACAGGTAGGAGTGAAATTGTTGATGGATGCTAATAAGAGGATTTTTCTGGTGTTGTTAGCTTCACTTTTTTCCTTTAGCTTTAGGTATGATTAATGTCCTCTTCCTGATTGTTGAAGGCTGAATTATGATATGATGAAGTTTATTACTTCATAATATCTTAGCTATATAATTCTGACAATTTTCTAGTTACTTAGTGAGGGCATTTGACCTCTTTTTAACATCTCATCTATAAGTAAAATAATTCAGAGTAGTCAATGTCTAATTGTTGCGGTTTTATCTTAGTTTTGATGCTTGAGGGAGTCTTAACCTTTCTTTGTTAGTTTTTTATTCCACTTTTTTACTATGACAGCATTTTGAAATTTAATATTTTCTGTTAATTTATTGACTCCCCATTCTTTATTAGGATATTCCGTTGGCCTTTTTGACTCTGTTACTTGTTTGAAGTACAGGTGGCAACCTCCCAAGAAGTCTACAGAAAAACAAACAAATCTGCTGGAGCAGAAAAAGCAGCACACAAAACTTACTTGGCAAGATAACAACCGGCCAAATGCCAAATCTCTTCCACTGTACAAGTGGATCCTTCTTTTTAATGTGCTAACAGGACTTGTTAGAGAAGCAATTTTGAGGCAGCATTTTTTGCTTTAAATGACTAGTGTTGTTGATGTTGACTAACATGACTCTTGGGCTTAGACATTTAAACCTTGGTTAATAAAACTGAACCACTGGGTGCCCCAAAAGGATTTTCATTTTGTGATGGTTTGGTGATAATTGCACTGACTCTGGGGGAATGTGCAGTGGTTTGGATATCTAGCATACTCTGGATCCATTAATATCTGTAGTTGAAAGCCTTGATAGCCATTGTAACACCACAGCAGTTCCAACTAATTATTGTAATGTAAAGGATCACTTGCAAAACTGTGTCAATGATATAGCCACTTGAAACCACAGATATCAGTTGTGTTGAACTCCTTAGAAGACTGCAAACATCAATAGCATATCCTGCTATTGTTAGATAGAGTACTGATATGTTAATGGTTAGTTGTGACAGCAGGAGACTCAGGTTTGTGTTTGAGTTACTGCCACAAAGTATGGCATTTGGCAGTGGCTCTAAGCCTGGAGGGTCGTTAGACTTATCATTATCATCATTATTCTCCTTCTTCTCCTTTATATAATGATGTCTGTCTTTGAAATTTGAAAAAAATACTGAAGAAGCACAGTGCAGTCTGGAAGTATTAGGACAGTGGCATATTTTTTGTTACACTGGCGCTCCAAGTTTTTGCTGTCATGGCTCTCTACTTTGCTCTATAAGTTTCTTTTTGAATTGCAAAATAAATGTACCAAACTGGAGACAAAACAACACAATCATTTCACTGCCCTCATCCTTTCAGACTGCACTGTACCTTTTTCTCCTAATACAACAAGACATGAACACCACAGATTTAACTTGTGAATTCTCTTGTTCAAAAAAAAAAAAAATTTTATTCTTGGGTTAGCAATAAAATATATCTGTGCATAAAGAGTATTACAATATTTAGCCGTATGCTACTGTAGGCTTTCAATATTTAATGCAGTTGCTTTATGTATCCTGATTTGTTTTTTCTGTCCCCCACCTGTAGCAATTACCCTTTAGAAACATCACAGATGATGTGGTAAGATTTGAGAAATTGGTGCTTTTTCTTTTCTTGGTTGTCAGTCTCTACAACATCTAACATCACTTTACTTAAAATCATCCAGTCTGCTTTGAGTGGTAATAAAATTGGTCTTCATTGCCAGACACTGAATCCATTCACATCACAGTGAACACACTGCTTTTCTCACTAACTAATGTTCTTTTCAGCTCTACATGTTATCTAGATAGTGTTTTGCTCAGCATGTGTTAAACAGATGTTCTGTGTAGGTGTTTTGTTCACACAGTTAACACTAATAGCATTGTTTTTCTAACCCATTAATAACTCATTAATTGTTTCATTTACTCTGAGTATTTCTGAGTATTAACTATCTAAACATGCTAGTAATCTAACACAGCTTCTATGTATATCAACTTGGCCCTGAAAGTTCCTGTGTAGTTTTCTCTGTTGTAATTGTGTCTTCTCTGTTTCTACAGCTGGACAGATTCGCCAGCATTCGGATTCCGGGTAGTAAGAAGGAGCGCCCTCCCTTATCACACTCGAAACACAATACCAATGATTGGTCTATTTCTTCATCATCCACCTCACATCAGTTTGAGGAACTGTCATCAAAGATCACCTCGGAAAAAGAAATCTTGGCTCTGTTTGAAAAGATGATGGTATGTAGTTTTGTCACTGAACAATATTATCACCATTTTCTAAAAAATAATAGAGCAACTTGACATGTAAAAGAGTGGTAAAGATATGAATCACCATTTTAGAAGAGTTGCACTGAATATAACAAGAAAGGCATTGTATTTTGAATATTGTTTGAATGTGTTATCATATTTACATAGAAATAGAGGAACTCAATGAAAGAATTATAATGACTTTTTGAAAATTATTTTCTGGTAATATGAAAAAAAATTACTGACAAAGCTTTCAGTTGAGTAATGGTTCTGAAAATAGGCATTTATTCAGTTTTCAGTCAAATCCTCACACAGTCTGGCATTTAAGCTCTTGGATGTGGTTAGTTTGACAACCAAAGTAAGATTTTTTTTGTCACTATTGGCATTTTCAATGTTTGGACTCGCTGTTTTCTAACAGGACATTCTGTAACAGTATATTGTTTGGTTTGATAAATTACTGTCCACTCCATTTCTGCCATGAAGACGCTGGGAGTTTACTCATTTTCACTCATTAGAAATTTATTAGGTCCCTCATAGAACCAAAACACTCAGCATGAGCCAGTAGATAACTTGTGGAGGAGTTTTGCGGGCTGACTACCTCCAGATATAATTTAGGGCTAAAAAACCATTAAGTATGGATGTCCCTGTCTACACTAACACTTTTGACTAAAGCTGATATTGCTTAAGTATTGTATAGTGAATGCTGGAAACACCAAAGTAAATCCTATTGCCAAAATAAAAATGAAAGAATATTAATTAATTAATTCTAATTGATATAATTAATTAATAATATGCAGTCAGATTAAAACTTCAAATAAGATTTATCCTCTCTTTCTGTGTTTTTTTCTTTTCAGGAGGACATGAACTTGAATGAGGAAAAAAAGACTCCTTTGAGAGAAAAGGACCTGAACACAAAGAGAGAAATGGTCATCCAGTATATCTTTACTGCATCTAAAACTGTGAGTTTTGGAACATATTATATTATACACTTGTATTCTGGGCACATATTATATCTTTCCTTGTATTTCTTGATGAAAAATGATGTATCACATAAGTCTCACCTGGCCTGACACAGACTGGGAAGGATTGAATTTGCTTATTCAATCTCATAAATAGGTATATTGCTTTACAATCCAGTGCAATCTCATTTGTCTTGCTGTTGCTGTCTCTCTGTGGTTACACTTGTAACTTGTAAAAATACACAAATACTTAATTTAGGATGATAATATTCATGTTATTACCTTGCACATTTTTGAGTACTGGAAGATGGTTAGATTTTGTGTACGTGAGTTTGCTGTGGTTGATTGGTCCTCCTTCAAAGTTCCATCAATGAGCCCTAAGCTTTTTCTTTTCTCTCAAAGCAGACAGACTGATCTTGATAGAGGGTGATAAAACTGTCAGTGTTCAGAGGAAAACAAATCTCCAAAGAAATGGAAACTATGGACCATTCTTTCTCTCCCAGACCAAAAAAGGCCAAGCTTTACATTGATTTCTGTAATTGTTAAGAATAGAAATCTACTGAAAGACCACATTTGCTGGTGATACACATTAAATATCTACCCCAGAGCGTGTTCATAGTTAATATGAGTTGAATTTGTGATACTTAATTTGAATAATAATGAAAACACAGCCTATCTGAGGTGTTTTTATTTATTTCATAGTAACAAAAGCTTGAGAATAACCTTTCTCTCTCCGAGGGCACCTCCTAACTTAAATGAACAGTTGTTAACAAATCACAGATATCCAATATTCAAGTTACCTCGCATTGCATTGTTAAAAACTCAGATTCATGTTTATATGTTTGTTTTTTTAAAGGTGTTCAGGTTAACAGGTTGGCACAGTGGCTTGCAAAGAAGTGTTGCATTTATTATATTTGCTATAACCAGACATCCCTCTAAAGTTGCCTCAGGCTGTCTGTCTCTAGTTACCATGGGGACCAGCCTGTTTATATGCCTACATTTGTTTACCTGCATGATAAAATAATGCCGCCACAGGCCAGAAGGTAACAAATTACAATCAATGAAAACACCAGTTTTATCAAATTCTATATAAGATGTGGTAAACTGGATATTTAGAGGGAAGTTATGAAAATAAGGATATTAAAATAAGGTATTTCCATAAGGTACATATGTCCCAAATTACTGAGTTAATACATTTTAACATTGGGTGTAAGATATTCAGCAGAGTGGATTTAATTTTGCTTTCAATTCTTTAATCACTCAAGACCATGTTCAAATCATGACCATCATTTTATGAGGCTGCAGTAATAATTTGCCTCAAATCAATATCAGCTCCTTATGCACTCATACTGTGTTGTGCAGTAATAGCACAAGTATGCTATTATTACAGTTGAGCCAGTTGATCAAAGTTTTTTTTGTAGTCTGGGGTATTTATCCTGTTGACTATTTAATTTTTTTGGCTTGAGTCACTGAAGGTTTCCATTCCACCAAAAAACTCAAACCAATTTCTTGACACACCCTTCTCAACCACAAGACTGTTTTGCCAATTAACCTTTAATATTACATCCTGAATTGATGTACGTCCCTTGCTGACATAATCAAGTGTGGTTCTGGCTTGCAAATTTGGTAGATAGTCTTGTAGAGAAACAACTGTCATGTATTTTGTTACACAAAATAATTGCTGACCTTTGCCAGTGTATTGCATTGGAGTAGTTGTCTTGAAATAACTATTGTACTTCTTGGAGACCCCAGTGTTGATTTGTCTGCATTGCCCCTGCTATGTAGGAATTGGTGTTTTAGTTAGTGTTGCCTAGAAAGAATTTTCAAAAAAGACTGAGGCCCTCCTCAGTCTTAGTTACCTGGGATATCACTGGCAATGGCAAAATTTATAGGTCTTTAAAACAGTGGTCATTAAAAACAATGGTCGGTGGTCTTATTTCCAAAGTGTTCTTATTTGCAAAGCACACATTTTTAAGTCTCAGGGGGGGGCTCAGAGTTTTGGCTGAGCACAGTAAGTGTTCTGAGAGTAGGAGCACAGTGAGACAGAAGGATCAGGGCACTGTGGCCCTGCTCCATTTCCCTGTCCTGTTGTGAAGAGAATAACATTGAGAACCCAATGGAAGGGGTGACTCAGTTTGGGAAGCGATGGGGGGGCGGGGGCTGTTCCATTACCATCATTGTCCCAGACACAGTAATTTGAGAAATAAGTGGAAATCACTGTGAATGAATAGATGGGATCTCCCCCATATGGTCGTGGGGGATGTGATGAGAGGATACTGATATACGACGATTCATACTCATTTGACCTTAAATTAGAGCATATCTCACTGTTGTTGACCACTTCACTCCATTGCATTGAAGATCAATTTGATTATTTCATACACAATATACATCATATAACTATATCTGTAGTTAGAAATAGCATGAAATTATTGTGTCAAGTTGAAAAATGTCTTCTGTTGAAAATGAAGAGATTTTAAGGGCTGCAGGACACTCCCTGGGCTCCTCCTACAGCAGATGATGGGGAAGGAGTTGCAGGTGGGTCAGCTTCTCTGATGCCAGCAGTGGGCAACCAGGCTGCCAGCAATGTTCCTTTCAAAAGGAAGACCTAGCCAGGTGTGCCTGTTGCTGCCATGAGCAGCACTCATGGTGAAACAAACAGGCTAGTCATCTTATCTCTCCAGGATGCTGGTCATCACATCTCCCCAGGACTCTTTTGGCTGTAATTGATGAAATTGTTGCTGTACCACTTATTCGCAGACACACATGAGGCACAAGTGAGCCTACACTGGTGATGCCAACAAAGGGTTGCAATCAAGAGTGAACATGGGAGTGGAGCAAAAATGTTTTTACCATGATGATAACACTGGAGGGTGGTGGTGTTGTCATTGAAGAGGGCTACATTCATAGGACTACTACCTGATTGGAAGATGAGTGCACTGATATGTCATGTGGTACTGAGGCAGAGCCTCACTTGAGTAAAAGAGTAGTGAAGTTCATTAGAGGTCTGGGGCATGCACATATAAAATCACTTTTCCCAGAGGTTCAAACTGGATACCAAGCTATTCAGTAGTCACTTACTGTCACAGGAGTCTTCAAGCTGAAGTGATAATGATTCCTGGCTCTCATTCAACATGCACATCAAGGTTCAAGGTTTGACTCTGCCTATATTCCATTTCTAGGGCTACAGAGGTGCTTATGATCATTATAACACACATTCTTTGATCATTGAAGATGAAAGTGGCTTTTTTGAGTGAAATTTTGATAACTAATTTTATTTTTATTAGTTGTTGAGGGGAATGTTATAGATTGGGGCGTAAGGTGTCAGGGGAGAGACAAACTGGGCATAGTTCCATTGTTTTGGCAGCCTGTAAGGGTTAGGGATTATTTATTCCTACTGGTAGTGATGCAGGCTGATTTCTGAGGCCTTTGATGAATCAGAAACGTACCCAACGATATGCAACATTTTGGCATTAGTGCAGCTGGCTTGATAAACTGAATAAGTGTAGCTTTCTTTGTACACAGACAAACTCAGAAAACCTTCAGCTTAAAGTGTCTTGCTACATATAGATAGTTAGACAGGGGAGCTACAGTGTTTTTTTTTTTTCTATGGTCTATGGTCTATGGTCAGATACATTTTAATTAGAAAGGCCCTCCATTACGGATACATGTGGTTGGGGCCAGGACAGGGTGACCTTTTTGTCATGCAAGTCTGTATTTCCCCCAGGGTTGCTTTTCAGCACCGGAGAGCTCATTTCGAAGGTTATGCCATAACTATAACTGACCACATGATCAAATGTTAGACTGACTTTATGAATAGTTTCATCATGTTGAGAATATTACAAGCAAGCTTTCATTTTCCGGCAGGCACTGCAGCACAAGCTGTCCAAGTTTAATAGACTGGCTTTGTATGTTTATTTGCAAATGCATCACAAATAAAGAAACTGTCAGAAGAGTGAATGATGAAGGGATGTTTTGCTGCCTTTTCATCTTTATTAGTTAATGATAGCAAGGTAGAAAATTTAATTTAGTTCACTGTACCACTCAGAGGCTACCGGCAGCTACTGACAACTTTCAAGGTGGAATGTGTGTTCTTGTGTGTTCTGGTAAAAACTTAATGGATTTTTTGATGGTTCACAGACCCAACAGTGCGGCAGCTTACTGGCATTCATCCTGGTATACCTGATGGCCAGTCCAACTGTGAAGGGTTTTGTTTGCTCCTCGGTGGTGTATGCACACAGTACGCTGGTGGTTGGAGAGATAATGTTAGCTAGTTAAATCTACCTTTCCCCCTCTTCCTTGTTTATTTTTCTGTTCTTTGTCTCTCTCCCTCTGGCCTTGTCCGGGGCGTTGCCTTGTCTCCACTTTATCGATTGTTTCAAATTAAAATTCCTCTGCACAGTTGTGTAATTGCAACTACTGTATATGACGCTGCGGCGGGTTGCAGCTGCAAAATGTACATGAGGGAAGCACTACAAGTACAAATAACTAAGCAAATAGCTAAACAATCCAAATCTACTGTATATGTGACACCTGACATGGTTTCTTTTTGCATGTGATCAAAGATTATGGAAGATTGCCGTGTGAGAGATCAGTTAATTGCTGTGATTTCTGTGTTGATGACTGTTGATGCCCATTGTTAGAGTTCTTGAATTAAAATCAAAAATAATGTTTTGTGAGGTCACATTGACTTTGACGGACATAAGGAACATATACATACTAATTTGACTCGAAACAGCACATAACAGAAAATACATGTATGCATGTAGCACGGATTATTATTATGACATTTGTTCAAGTAGATGGGTTTTCAAGTCTATAAAGGGACATGCACAGTACTGGAATGGAATCCTTGGGCACTTTTGCACACTTGTGCTTTTGCGCTTTTTGACTATTGACACTGTGTCTTTCTGCCGGTGTATTCAGTGTGTTGACTTTTAACATCTTTTGGCCTCATGTCTCTTTCTTCCAGGGGGCCTTAAGAAGCAGCCATCAGATATCTCCCCAGGAATTTTTGGGAGAGCTGAAGTCGGGGGTGATGGACGAACGCCTATTTGCCTGTCTAGACTCATTGCGTGTGTCCCTTACCAGCAACCCTGTCAGGTACAGTACAAGATTATGACACTGAAAAATAACTTGATGTCTTAAGTACAAGTGCCCTCACAGTTGTGTCTAAATTTTTCTGTTTATAATTACACAGCATAAAGTCAGTTTGGTGGGGTCATCATCAAGGGCCATGTTTTATTAAATATTTGTGTATATCTTATTTTTCTCTAGTTAAAATTTTATTACTTCATGAAAATAAATTGAAATTTCACATTGTTTTAATAAAATGAAATGAAAGGATTCAAATAAGACATTGAAAAAGTATAGAGTAGCAAAAACAAAGAGCTGCAGCTCACATACCCTGAACCTTGGAGGTTGTGTCTGTGAAGACATTCCAGGCAAAGATGTGAATCATAGTTGTAGCAAATTGAAAATGCGTCAACAGGAACAAAACATCATAGCCTGATTACTGAATTCATTTTTAATCTCAGTGAATGTATTTAAACTGTTGTATTGAGTTCTACAAAACATAATCTTTTGCTTGAACCCACCATGAGCAGCAGAATTGTATTTATGAGTTGTTTCTGCAATGTCTCAATTGACTTAATGCATATATCATGTGCGGTTGACTTTTTAAAGTAACGCAGATTTTCTTCGAGCACAATTTCTGATTGTTTGTGCTCATCATTTAACCAGGAAAGTGTAATGCACATTAAAGACTTGGAGGTGCTGCAGCTGTCAGCTCCCTTAGTTGTCTGTGAGAAAAATGTATAGAACTTTAAGAAGTCTGGATGCCCATATAACTTCTTTGCTTTTGGGGATGTTCATTTAGAATTTTTTTCCTGACCGACAGCTGACATTCGTTATCCACCGTTAACGGACATGCATGTCGACATGCTGTGGGGTTAGTCTAGTGTGTAGTCTGTTAGCTCTGACAGGAGAAGGCCTGCTCAGATAGTACTGATTTCTCAGGATGTTTTAACTGTTCAACTGATAGTATTAAATGTTCAAAAGTTCTTATTGTTGGTTAATTATTAAGCGGTTAATTATGAACAACCGTAGTTTACAGCTTAGTAATTTAAACTAGTGCATTATGTGTCTGGGCACATTGTCCTCAACATTCTCCGCAATTCAAAGAATCTGCTCAAGATATATGATTCAACTGTAATGCATTTTCAGTTGAGGTATTCTTAAAACTCTCCCTCGCCCAGGCTACTGCCCATTAGTTAATCTAAATATTTTTGATATGTTGGCAGGTTTTGGATGCAGTGTTTATCCCTGTTAGCATTTTTTTTTTAAATCGGAGAAAATCATTCAAAAAATGACAGTTATGTAATTTTCACATATAATCCATAACATTCATACTGTCTATTTGTTAATCTCTCATCACTGTCCACTTGATGTACACTTTATTTAGCTTGAATGTATACCTGTATGTTAGGGTTCATTGTCAGGTCATAATCATGAGTTTTATTTTTTAAGTAAAAGGACAGGGTGGCTAGTTTTGTGTCACAATGCTGGAACGAAGTAAAAGTATATTTCTTGCCAGTATAAAGTAAATCTGACTCTGTTTCTAGGGGGATGGGATGTTCCTTTGGTGCTGTCTAAGCCACACTGACAGGCAGATCCATGGCAGTCTTGTTTTGGTTGTCTCCATCTCTTAGATTTAAATTGTTGCTTTGGGCTCTCTCTGTCTGAGGTTGGGGATGAGCAAGTTTGTCTCACATTATCATATACTCTGCCAGAGCCACTTTAAAGGCAGTCAAAAACCTAAGCTCAAACATTTAGTCTTCACTGACTTCTTAAAACTCCACTACCTCCTATCGCCACACACACACACATGTGATTTATTTGATCACAGTAAGCCATTTTCATGATCGATGTCATGGGTACATAGTTTGTGTATAATAAGATCTCAGTGCCTCTCAACACTCAACACAATGCCTTTCTAGTTCTGTCATGTTGTTTATGGCAGATTGAGGATGACTGTGGTCTTGCATTATTTTATGGGCTCTCACCTTATATTTCACCCCTCATCTTTTCTGTTTGCTGTTTGGTGTTCTTTTAGACCAAAGAGGCAATAATCTACGCCAGTGGTCAGTAACCTTTTTCATATGGGGTGCCAGTTTTAAAGCTTAACTCCACTAAGGTTGCAGGAAAATTTTGACCTATTAAAAGTTCTGTTTAATCACACGCATTCAAAATACAACAATGGAGAATAGCATTGCACCAGTTGCTGCATTATATTATTGAGCACCTTCAAAGCAAGTACGTATCACCTGGTACTCTTTTACTTGGACAGACTCTGCTCTCTTCTAGGTGTCTGTTTATACTGTTCATTACAAGAAACTAATGAACAAATGTCAGCCAGTCAAATTTTTCATTAGCCATTGTATATATTTGATCAATGTATAGTAAACAGTGTGTCTGTGTACAATAACTTTAATACTGGCTCAAAATTGGCCAAAATTGTTCAGAAGGGAGGCAATGTTTTTAAATAACTGACTGAGAAGTTTCATATAGGATTAATAAAGTAATCACTACTTTCTCTTCATTAGCACACAGTATTTTTGAATTTATCCCTCAAACCATCCTTGGATTGGTATGACTACCTTCCAATTTTTCCTACTTCTCTTCCTTAGCTTTTGCCTCTAACCAGCTTACATTAGTGAATGAAAATTTGTTTATTTATATGTTGTTAACACAGCTGGAGTCACTCATCTCATAGGTTTTATCAAGTCTGAGCCATCATGAGCCTCATGGCTAATAAAGCCCCTTCCTACAACCAGGTTCATCTTTTTGAGTTTGCATCTGAAAGCCCTCACACCCACCACTACGATCTCCCACCTACTTGCACAATAAAGTGATTGCACATGGATGTAGGAGTAAAAGAACTGAGACTTCATTATGTTTTCTTGAACCCTTTTGAGCACTGCAGCTCCGTCAAGAGCCTTTTGAACTGCTTCACTTTGTTTTTGATCAGGATCAATGACATTAGCAAAAATGTACAAACACGGGCAAGGACTGATGTGCTTCAGAAATTGAATTAGGCTAAACATGCTCAAGTGTTAATTATGTTAACAATAAATATGATGAGATACTGTATGTTTGTCACTTGACCTTTTTGATTATCAAGATGAAACATTGGTAAGATTAAAATAAATTATTTTAAGAGCTTGGTGAATCAATAAATGCAATAATAGGGCTCAAGGGCAGAGAAAAAACAGCTAATACTTGGAACAACCATGGTGTGTTCTATCTCCCTCATTGGGTGAAATGGACCAAAATCATACCTTGGCATTTTTAGGCTGAATGGCAATGGACAATAAAAATCTTACACAAAGTGGGTTAAACTGTTCAGCTGTAAATCAAAGTCACATGTGAGATGTCAGGCAGTTTTATTTAAACAAAACTATCAAAATAAAATGCAAATACAGGGTTTCCTTTCCTGTTTGAAAATATACAGCTGCAAAACATGAAAGTCAGTTGTTTTCAACAACATAATATACAACTGCACAATATATCAACATGTAAATAAACAAAAGTATAAAATGAAATTTATATTAAATAAAAACAGGCCCATCTCTGAGAAGTGTTGTTTTCAACAGCAATAACAGACTGAATTTCTTTTTACAAACCTTATCCTGTAGTCTGGGCTGGCGCTGTCTCTCCCTCCATCTTGCAGCAGAACTTGTGAGTGAGTGTGGATGGGTTTGTGCGCAGACGCAGAGGGAGAATGGGGGCCGTATTGTGCGGCCAGTGTGAGCATAGAGATGCAACTACTGGCAGAGCTTTAAGGAAGAAATGGGTTATGGAACACAACATCAGACTATATTGATATAAAATCAATTGTGTCATCCTATATCTCATTTGAAAACATATCAATATACCTCAAAAAGACGATATACCCACCAGCTGTAATTTCCAGTCAACCATATAATATTGTATGTAACATATGCACAATATAAATGATAGCTTGCTACATCAGCTGTCATAAGTCATGGCAGTCCCATAAACTGTGACATACATAAATAGCAACAATCTATGCTTACCCATTTTTAAAAAATTTTTTTATGGGACCCTCACGATTTGATTCTCAAGGAGAATGTGGCCTGTAGGCATTGACTTTTGATGAAGTAACCACTAATAAAATGGACAGTCATGCTCATGTATAATGACATAGTTTGGCTTGACCATAAATCTGCCTTGGCTAGAAAAGGTGGCATGGCAGAGGTAACCCCTTGCAATCTAATAGCACCATTACATTCCTGAGTTGTGGGACTGATTTGGCAGTAAAGGCATTTTGTATGCCACTGTTTTTGGATGTTGATCACTATCACTTTCTAGGCACTGTTATAGCAACAACTCTCACTCATTGCCCCCCTTCAATATCAGGTAGTTGCATTCTGCTTGTATAGGCTGACAGACTTATATGCTCCCTCATCAGGTTCCTTTTGCTAGTGCAGACACACTTAGAGGTAATTTGGTACTTCCTGCAGCTCCACAGTGTGACCCTGTGACGCTTGCCTCTGAACCTTGTATACCTTACTCACCTCAGCTATTCCAGCTCTCTCATTTTTTGTGAGGAGAGGCCATGTTACTAGCCCACAGGACCAGCAAGGCTACAGGATGTAATTGTATTAAATGGATTTGATAAATGGATCTGACAAACAAGTGGAAATTGGTTTTTGATATTATATTAAAACTGACCTTCAGGTTTAAGGCCCTGGATTTATTTTTCTTCAGTTTAGCTATACAAAAGGGTAGAGTTTAGCATTTATCCTCTACACCAACGTTTTTAGTAAACCTTGGATGCTGTTCCTGTTTCTCATACACCTGCCACCCATGTGTGGCACACAGATTCACAGTTCCTTAAACCAGTCATAGTGATAGTGTTGTCATCAGTACAAAATATACACACAAACGTCTTTGATAAATTCTACCTTTACAAAACTAACAATGTTCCATTTTGATTGACACTTTTATAGAGGAACTTAATTTAAGTATATGTTTATTATTGAGTTTTTGGTTCGCAGTGATGTTGAACTGGAATGCAT